GCGACATTTTCTAGTTTGGCCGCACTAGAGTGTCAAATTTGGGTGTTTTTTCATATGCAGTTTTCGCTAACATACTGAATTTCAAATACCGTTAAAAATAGTTTCCATAAGCAGAATTTGAATTTTTTTAGTTTGTTTGAAAGGTAGTTTTATATGGATTCATGAAATGTCCACAAAAATATTTTCTTTTTTTTAATATGGACGGATTAGGCTTTCAATCCAACTATATCTCAATTGCAATTATTTAACATGAGCTCCGTTAATTCGTTAACAGAGGTATGTTAATAGAAATGGTAGGTGTCTTTACTAGTTAAATTCGAATTTATCTTCACACCCTTCTTGAAATTCACCTCAATACACTTAAATTGGCCTTTGAAGAGCTTGTGTGTTAGATTTTTGTATTAAATAAATAAATAAGAGATTATGGAACTACAGTTACTCCAAGCCAATTTCGGACACTGCAGTAAACAAATTTTATTGGCAAATGTAGCAAAAGTGCAATAATACTGAAATATTTGCAACTTGATCTTTTAGTGCATGCTTGTTAAGCTAACAAAAACAAGAAACAAAATTTGAATTAATTATATTTAAATTAACTCACACTTTAAGTGCAAAACTTTTTGAAAACAATTTGTTTTGCAATTATTATATGTTATAAATTAATATAATATATTCTATGTAGCCGTTTGGTCTGTATAATCATTTTAAGTCTCTTTGGTATGGATTAGACAAATTTTTTGCACTAGGGAGGTTGTATTTTTCCCCATTTTTGCTTTAAGAGCGTTTTTAACCTTGCTTTCTTTAAATAATGTCAAAGGAACACTTTCAAATAAAAACGTCCATATAATGATACGGAAAGGTAAAAATTTTGTTCCATGCTTAAAGTCAAAGTGTTCTTCGAAGCGGGATTCAGTTCCACCAAATATGTTGGAGCAAGTTTTTATATTATGCGGCGATCATCAATAAAGTCATGTCTCCAACAAGACGCCATGTCCATGTTGTAGTTTACTAATTGTAGCATATTCGAACCGATTGGAGCGACCGATGAGGAACAATGTAAGCGATCATTGTTGTAATTGGAATGGGAATTGAAGAAAAAATATATACAAGGTGCAAAGATATGCGATGAACTATCTCCCCACCGCGAAAGAATATCTCCTATTATAACTTATGTCCTCAATTTTTTGTAGTTGTTTTCTTGAAAAATATTTAAAAAATTTTTTGCTTTTTCATTTGCCATACGTAACTATAAAGAATTATAATTTAATTAGCATATACTATGGTATTGATATTGCAACTAAGTGTCAGGTTCAATTGTTTGTTTATGCAAAACTTGCACACAATACTAATATTGGAATTAAATGGCCAAAAAAGGAATCAGATATAAAAACTATAACCAAATGCTAAAACTGGACTCAAAAGGCTAAAAATTAAACCTTATTTCGTATAATATTACTTTTGTTACAACAACACTTTCCATAGAATGAACGACATAAGTCAGACCTCAACAACCAGGTTTTTCCAGGTGTCTTAAGTTAAATACAACGCAAAGTAAGAGTATATGTCATGTGATTACAAATTTATATATGCGAGCGGAGTGCTTATGTATGCTACGTATGAAACATATTTTTTTCTAGTTTTCAAATGTATCGTATTTTTCGGACTATAAGACGCATCTTTTTATATCGAAAAATTGGACTCAAATTTTGTGTTCGTCTATATGGTTCGAAGGTAATATTAAAATATTTTTTTCAATAAATCCTATCCAAATTTGAGGTACATGCAGCACGACAACAATAGTTCAGATGAAAATACCGATAGTGAATATCAACTGAATATTGCTAGTACGAGTTATGTTATAAATAAATAAAAATGTTGATCCGAAACTAACATTTAAAAATATATTTTTCAAAAATTCATTTTATAAATTTGTAATGCGTGTTATCGTCCGGCGCGTCCTTTGGTCCAAAAAATACGATATGTATGCAAAAATGTAAAAAATATGAATATTGAAAGAATAAATAGAATTGCAAATGGATTAATGCATCCAAGCCACTAGATCTATATACTTACAGTTTTCATAGTTTAAAAAAAAAAAATGCCTGAATAGAAAATTTTATTATTATAATATTTTTTGTCTTTTTAATACAATAATTTCTTCAATTCGACAATTTTCTGTAAATTTATTGCATAATAAGAAGATGCTGTTATTGCGATTATTGTAAATGAAAGTGTATGAGTATGTATATGTATGTATCTGTGTGTATATGTGTATGTATGTGTGCGTATGGAATATGAAAATTACAAGAGATTGTTGTTGGTATTAACGCTGCGTAATCATTTCTTGTTTAATTTTTATAAAATAAAAGTAAATTGCCAAAAATAAAAAAATAAAAAATGTAAACATCAAAAATTGAACAAAAAGAAAAAGAAAAAACAAAAAAAAATTGCACTTGTTTCGTTTTGTTTTCTTATAATTTTTTTTTTTTTTTTTTTTTTTTTTCTTAAAGATTATTGTCTCCAAAAACATACATCATACTTGGGTTTTTTATGAAAGAATCTATCGTCTTAATTTTTTACTACTTGGAAACCCATATAATTATTTATTTTCATTTTCATTTTCATATTCATTTTTTTTTTTTTTTTTAAAGTAGTTTATTAAAGTATTTTTTTTTTCTTTATTAAAATTTTCCTTATAAATTTTTGCATTTCTTAAATCTCAAGTTCAAGTTATGTTAAAAGTAATTTAAAAACAAAATTCATTTTAAAATGAATTTCTTAAGGTATCGAAAAGATATTCTTGCACTTCTGGTGAATTTGTATCCATGGCATTTAACTTAGTTGATGAGTTGCTAGTTAAAGAAAAGGCCAAAGAGGTGGTGGAGCCTAAATTACTGCAGCTAACACCTAATAAACCGCCACCAACCGCGGCCGTGCTAGCGCCACAGCCACCGCCAATGCTTAACAACGAGGACGAGGATGATTTCTCATTGTTTCTAAGGTTCGTCTGTTTATGCCCACTTAAACGTGAGAGTTTCGTTGTTTTGTTCTGCGGCTGATGTTGCTGATGATAGTTTTTACTGTTATTGGCGTTTCGTTGAAATAATAACGAACTTTGTCGCTGTAACTGTTGCGAATTGCTATTCTTGCCATTGTTTACCGCGCTATTGCTTGTTGTGGTAATGGTAGCTATCACTGCTACTGGATTATTATCATTTTGTCGGGCTGTACATCTTGTCGTTGAACTGCTATTCTGACCGGCTGTTGTCAATGTGGTCGTTGTTGTTGTTGTCGTGCCAGTGATCAAAGCCGGTAATTTGCTTTTCATAACATTATAAGTTTTTATTAAACTGCTATTATTGCTATTTCGGCTTGCGTGATGCTTTAGCCCGCGCTGCTTCCAACGACAAACGACAAATATTAGCATAAACGTTATCAAAGCTGTTAGAACTATGGTAGTGCTTGCGACAATGGCTGATTTAATACCGGCCGATATATTCGTGTAGAAACTGTTTTGGTGTTTTTGTCCAGTCACTGATACAGCCACTGGTGCCGTTGAGCTACGCTTAAATCCGTGTCCAGATAATTCTAAGTCTACTAAATCATGCGCTCGCAACACTTCGTTCTCCATGGTCTGTATCGTGTTGTCATTTAAACGGATAGCTGCTTGCATGGGCTTTATCGCTCCACTATTATAGGCCACCTCGTTAGAATCATCAGCGTCCATAGTATCATTGCTTAACATAAATAATTTATTTTCATTTAATTCCATATCCTCTTCGTCAGCGGTAGAATGGTTTTCAAAAAGCAATTTAGATTGCGGTAAATAGAACGTATTGCTTAGGCTGGGGGTAATCGCTTGTGCATTATTTGTAATCCTTGTGGCCAACGAAGCTAGGGCCAATGTTTTCCAAGCGGGAAAGAAACTAAGAGATTTGCTATTTTTATTAAGAATATTGATGTGGGAAACTGTAAGAAAATAGAACAAGGAAATGTGAAAAAATTCGAAAAGTTACTTTTAGTTTTTACAATAACAACAGATTTTGATAAACATCTTTAGTCCTAGTTAGTATTTAAGCTATAATTGTCAGCTGATCAACTGACTGCAATTAATTTAATCAACTTAAAAGGCAGCGAACATGTAAAGGACATATTCTCACAAATATAGCTTCCACTCTAAAGAACTAAAATAAAACTTACTTGTTGTTGTATGATGTGTAGAGCTGTTGCTGCTAAAGCGGCTTTTCCGGGTTTTGTATGTTAGAGTTTCTAGCCAATGGTGCATTTTTTCTCGCGACAAATAATATATATATATAATGAAATAAAATAAAATAAATGGTCGTTGAAAAATTCCATTTAAAAAAGAAAATGCATTGTAACAACCGCCTCAACAGCAGCAGCTCACCATAAATTTAATTATATGTCCAAACTTTTGTCTCGCTGTTCTCTTGTCTTCAATCTTTTTCTTCTTCGCTCTGTCTCTCTCTCTCTCTCTCTCTCTCTCTCTCTCTCTCTCCCAATCTCTCTCTCCCAATCTCTCACACTCTCTCTCACACTCTCTCTCACTCCCTCTGTTTCTCTCTCGACCTTTCTCTGCGCTTCACAACTAAACCTTTTTATATCTACTTGAACCGCGATACTTTTGTATATGATTTGTGTGTGCCTTCAGTCTCCTTTTACGTTCTAAACGGTTAGTGTTAACGTTTGACGTTAAAAGCGCACCTCTTGTCTCAGTTTTTGCTCCTTCTCCACCGCTTTTATAAATTTCATCCGTTGGTTCAATGTCAATGATCGAGGTGAAGTAACTTGATCCTTGAGAATCGGTTTTTATATCATCCGGTTTAACGCTCTTCAGATTCAATAAATTGAAATGGGGAAAGTTTTCGAAAGCCGTTACAATATCCATATTGTCTTGTAGGACGACACGTTTATCTGGAAACAAGCCGGCTGGATTTTCCACTATGGTAGCCAAGTGCAATTGACTAGAGCCCCGTTTCCGATGCTCGATCAATTCTTCTAAAGTCATATTACGTTGCTCAAGCACCTTGAACAAACGATTACCTGAACGACGATCTTCTATCAATTCCAACAGATCGGTACGATCATCTACATTATCATAATCGGGAAGAAATTCGTTATACTGAGATTTTTTACTATTAGACGAAGCGGTACTTGTTGAGTATTGTCTCATTTTAGTGATCAAGGTAGAAGTCTCTACGGGCTTTCGAGCCTTTATTTTGACCGCTTCATCGAAGAAGTTCTCCAAATCGTCATCGCCGTTATTGTTATATGTAGCGCGATGCTGATCTGTTTGTTTATCATTTTTATCGATGAGATTCTTAAGAAGACTCTCTTGAATGCGTTCTTTCAGCTGCTCGCTATTGAACATCGTGTGGGCTTTGGGTGTTAAATTCATGGTGCTGCTGCTGGCGGTTGTTGTCGTTGTTAGCATAATATTAGTTGCGGTGCTGGTGATAGGCGATGTTGTAGGTGTCATTTTAGTGCTTGTAGTTGTTGGCGAATTGCTCGATGATGCATAATTAAGCCGCCTTGTAGTTCTTGTTAATTGCCCGGTTGTTGTATAACCAGAACGTCTTGAGTTGATTGTTAATTTATTTTGAATCGGTTTCACAGTAATAGCAGCATTGCTGCTACTTGTCGTCGTCATGTCCACATTTTGTTTGCTGATATCTTTTAAGTCCTCCACTAAAGAGATGTTTTCTGTGTCCAAATTTTCGTCGTGTGCTCCTGTCTCAATTTCGTCTTCCTGTTCATCTTCAACGATAAAGTCCATTTCTTCTTCGCTCTCGTTGGTTAAATTTTTCTCTGGCTTGCGATCCACATAATCCGTAAAAGTGTTAACTGGAGCAAGTGTCGCATTGGTTAGCAAAAAGGTGGGCTTTAAAGTTGATCGCTGATGTAAAATTTTTTTATAAATTGGCACGCGGGTAGTACTGCTTATGACGGTTGTTGGCTTTGTTAAGTCGGAACCGTTACTGGCTGTCATCATTACCGTGGTTCCGATCGCATTTAAATATTCTTTTTTCCGAGCATTTATATCGTTTAATGGTCTGGAAGCAGTGCCAAATAATTTCAGACGTTGCATAGCCAATACTTTCGTTTTCTGTTCAGCGTCCTCACGATTCTCTGCTACAATCTTCGGTTTTGTTAATATTTGATTGATATTCGGCTTTTGTTTAATTTGCGGCAAACTAGTCGTCTGCAATGCCAATATGGCGTTTTGTTTGCCTTTAAGCAGATCATCTAACGATAGATTTTGTTGTTGTAATATCTCGCTAAGACTTAAGCCTCCGGTATTTTTTAATAAATTTTTTAAATTCACTGGTGACGCAGTGCTGGCCAAATTCTGCTGATTTTCACGCAATTTTTCATTGCTATCGTTAGGTTTTTGCTCCCTTTTAAAAGCGTCTAAGAGCTTAACATTTTCTGTTTCTGAATTTTTTTCCGGCCGCCTGTACTCTTTCGATTGTTGTTCTCCATCTTTAACATTATTATTTGGTTCACGCAAATCATCATCGTCTATATGGCCACGCCAATATTGGTTATTAGCCAATGCCGTTGATCTTACTGCAGATGTTCCCGTTTGGGGACGGCGTTTCCGTTTCCGTAAACCAACTCTTTTCGGCATACCATTCTGGTATTCGGGTGTATAGTCTGTTGGCTCCAATACAAAGCCATCGTCTACTGCCAAAGATATAGCAGTTTGTAGCAACTGTACATAGAAAGAAAGAAAGAGAAAAAGTGCAAGGATTGAAAAAATTCTCATAAAGATTTTTTTTTGTAATTGAAAAAATTTTTTTTTTTTTTTTCTTTTTAATAAACTGATATTTAATAGAATTTAGGATTTTATGCTCGGCTTGTCACGATATATATTTTTGGTGGTGGTGGCGCGAGACGCGATTTAATCACTTATCACGTCTGCTTATCTATGCATTTACCTCCTATTGCGAGTTCTCAGATCTGGGTAATTTTTTAATGCAGAAATATTAACCTTCGGATGTATATTTCGAATATACGGATGTCGAATATGAAATGCGTTTTAATGCATTTTATTTCGCTTCCAAGGGATTAGAACTTTTCGAAGACTTGCAGCTAAAGCAATACGATATCATTTCATTGAGAACAGAAAGAGAAAGAGGCTTTGGAGTATACTCTGAATATATATGTGCCTAACTCGCATAAGATAATAGTTAACCCGATTGGCGTTTACTCTTCTCGTTTCTGAATTCAATGAATGCGTACCCGGCGGGGTCCAGAACAAATATGGCGACAATAGCGCAAAAACAGAGAGAGAATTTAAACATTTCACATAAGATATATGATATTAGTTACATACGGCTAAGGGAAATATCACGCAATTTACTTAACGCGTTGATCATATTAACCTAAGGATCATCATTTCCCTCTTTATATAAATTTAGTGGATATTGTTTTCATTAATGTTCATATACTTTGGCAAAATAAATATTAAATGCTTTTTTTTTCATCGCATATTTCATGTTTATTAAAATAATGATGAATGCAAAAAATGCAATCGATTAGATAACGTTAGAAAAATAATCGAATCAATTGCAATTAATCATCTTTGTCACTCTTGAATAGATAGGAAAGACACTTAATATTGATTAAATGGAATTTGTTTATAAATATGCCAGCATTTGCGAAAACCAATTATAAAGTATTATGACCGATAATAATAGTAATTTATGTTAACTTAATGTTGCATTAATGAACGAATACATCATAGAGTCGTGCATACACGTATAGTGTATAGGGTAGTGCAGCAAATTGAATTGATTGAATTTTCTCAATGCAAATCGAGTCACTTAGTGTGTATCGTTTAATTTTATATTTTCAAAATGAGAAACGGCGAAGCGTTCTTAACGTCACAGCTAATCACATATAACACATTCACTTGCACATTTAAAAGTAGAAAAGCAATATCCATATCAACATACCCACTACCCAATCCATATATACGAAATGTAATTTGTATGATAGCACTTAATGGAAAAGAGATACAAGAAAACCTCTTGGAGCTCTATAAGCTATTATCACATACATATAAAACAAACATTCACTTCATAGATACATAGATATATAAACACATTACAATAAATATAAATAGATAAACGTTAGATATGTTCATAAATGTATTCATATAGATGTGTGTATATATGTTAATATTATCGATGTTATGAGCCATGGAAATGTTCGCATATATATTTATATAAGCATAACTATAATAACATTACAAATATATTTATTGTTGATTATATTCTGTTATGAGTATAATAAGCGTTTTAGTTGCCTGGCGGTAAAATTAATGGAGAAACGCGCAAACAAATTTAACTTTGGTTTAACCACGTACACAAAGGCTAATGAATTGCGAGCACGAATAAGAATAAGAATAAGAATAAGAATAAGAAGAAGAAGAAGAAGAAGAAGAAAGTAAAAAAGATGAAAAAGAAATAGCATACACTATGATAATAGTATCAATGTAGCGTCAGGCAGAGCCTGTCGGAGTGATTCTATCATACAAATATTAAATTAATTACCAACGATATAAGAGCCAATCAGTTGGCCGTACATTCACAAACACACGAGCGCACGAAAAACAGATTTGCAGTGTTAGGGAAAATGCTATGAAATGAAATCACTTAAATACATTTGAACATGCTTACCCCCTTATACACACACTTACAGACACAGAATTAAACCAACAGTTGAGATTAACTGGCAGTACAGGTGTGTAAATATTATACAAAACTGACTAATACTTATGCAAACATACGTAAATGCAATGCATATACATTCGAACTCTCATACAACCACATACCGAAAGCATATAGCTTGAAAGGCTGCAAGTAAGCAGATAAGAGAGATAAGTTAAAACGAGAAGGGGAAACTGCATAAGATATATATATATATATATATATATATATATGGCTTTTACCCCACATCTACTCAACCCTCAACAAGTCACCAAAGAAAGGTTAAATACACTTATGGTTTACGGTACGGCAAGTGTTTGTTTGCAAATCTACATATGTGCTTGTGCTTGTCGAAGTGCTTCACAAACATATATAAGTGGCAAGGTTATCAAACAAAAAAAAAAAAAAAAAAAAAAAAAAAAAATTTTTTTTTTTTTTGGTTTTTTTTTTTTTTTTTTTTTTCTAAAAAAATTTATTATTTTTTTGATTTTTTACACTCATATACCATACAGTGACTATGTGTGTATGTGTGTTTGTATGAATTTCACTTAAAATACTGTTATAAACTTAACTCGACTAAACTGAACGTAGCTTAAATGCAATTATTTTCTATACTAATGGAGTGCCAAGTGCACCTTATGCTCGTATCCATGTTCTTACAACCATAAACTAAAGAAAGTAAGTGTATGGGGCATGAGGGATGGAACAGTTTTGCAGAGCAAAATTAGTAAAACAAAAACAAAAAAAAAAGGGTGGGGATGTATTTAGTGTGAGCATTAAAATGATGTTTCGTTATCCAACTTTAAAGAAAGATAGATAATCAAATTTTCGATCTATTCGGGCATGGGAACCAGTTACGGGACGTTCAAGACCACGACCAGAGCAAAATTGGCCATTTAGGGTTTAGTTAATCTAGATAGCATATCTTAAATTTGCGAAAACGAGCTGTAACCATTGCTTGAGAAAGTTAAAGAGTTAACTAACGTCCTAACGACTTCCTCGATTCGCTTGAAACCGAAGACATTTTTCTGACTTGCGTTAAATGCGATTTAAGCTCGAGATTGCGAAGCTAGGAATAGTAATAAATTCTTTGCAACACATATCATGGAAACGAAACAGTATTTAGAAAATGAAGGTTTTTATCGGAAAGGTCACCAAAAACTCCTATTCTTTGATGGTTTGATGTCAATGTAAAATAATTGACGATCCCTGATGTTCCCACAGACAAGGAAATGCAAAATGATATTCGTTGGACCGAAGATGCATTCGGAAATGGCGAAAGATGCAGTCGAGAGCTTAGGCTTTTTAAAGCATTGTAAGAAATAGTTCGATGCAGGCGATATCCGTGCCAACCAACGTACATCACAGTAAAACTCACTAGTGTGGGTAGGGGCTACAAATTTCGCTTGGCGAGGCTTGGCCGCATGCAGTGAAAGGCTCACATGCTCATGGTGGACGAAACATTTTCAAAAAGTCTCGATACCCTCTACAATTGACGTAATATGGGCAATGTAATGCTCATGTACAGATACATCCACGGCAGAGGTGAAAGTGATATCTCTACCAATTAAACTTTTTAAGAGGATTACAAAGCTTTCTTAGCTTAATTGGAATTGGCTGCGTTGTCATATGACACATTATCACGACTCGTCATTCTTTCATCACATGGCACGCCTTTGGAAGTACGTACCAGCAGAGGTCTTAACCGCCGCGCCTGATGTTTCCATTCTTCAATTGAAACTTAATCCACACAGACACTATTACTTCTTTGCATCGTTCCGTAACAACGAATCTTCCTGACTATATCATCGTGCCTGCACGTGTAGAGGATAACAATGTTCTCAGGTTTATTGCTATTTGCGATTAATTTGCTTTGTAAGAACAAAAACCTCAAATAAAATTTCCTCCGTACCCTGGGAAGTGAGGAAAAAAGCATGACAACGGTCGATTTACATTTTTTTACAACCCGTGAATTTAGTATCGGAAAGGAAAGGATTTTTCCATAGGTATTTAACTTTTAATTGCTTTTGCTTAAGTGCTTAACTAAATTTTATTATGATTTACATTCGAGTATAAATTGGTTTTTACAAAACATTATTCATTCATTATTCATCGGAAAAAAGAGAATTTTTTTTCGTTCGGTTTTTGTTGACACCTAGTATTTAAGAAAATTTATTTTGAATGCGTACCGCTACGAATCAATCAAGTGCTTTGACATCGAAAATGTTCATCGGACAGTCAGTTAATATAACATTAGCCAGGGCAAGCGCTTGTATAAGCGCCGTTTCAAGCAAAATCTAATAAGCAAGTAGTTCGTACCGCAATGACAGCTGGACTCTATCATATTATATAATATTTTTTTAACCACATTTTTTTTTTTTTTTTTTTTTTTAATTACACTTTGGCTAACGACAATTCGACATATACACACCTTCCTCATCATCACCTGTTATTGGTTAAAAAAAAAAAAAAAAAAAAATATCGTAATTTTTGCGAGCTATAAACAGTTATATCGATCGTCTCTTGAATGTGGCCGTAGATATGTGAAAAGGATATTAAAAATTATTTATCGATTTATTGATACAATGTATGTATGTATATGTTGATATATATATATATATATATATATATATATGCAAAATCTCTATTGTGATGGGATGAAAAGTGCAAAACAATTCTATCGTTTTCTCTTCGCTTTAGCGGCATTGGACTGTGAACTGGTCAACTTACGCATTTCGAATATGTAAAATGTCATCAGTAGCTCAAACAAGCTTTACACATATCCTTGCAGTGATTAACAATAACAACAGTCGACAATAGTCAAATGCATTAAACTTTTATCTGTCGTTTTTGAAGCGCGACTGCTGATATAAAATAATCAAGTCTCGTAACCGCTTTACCTATCAGACATTCAGACAGTAACTTGAAAACGAACATATGCAACGGCTGTAGTGGTGCGCTTACAAGACATAAGATAACTATAAAGATGAGTAAATAA